CCCGCCGCGCCGAGTGCAGCAGTCGCAGGGTAAATGTTGAGATTCGGGTAGTTCGAGTACGCAGCGACGCCGTTCTGCGCGTAGGCGCTCCCGCTGTCCGAGCTCGACACGGGGCTCGCGAAGGGGTTGGGGTAGTATGCTGATCCGGGGTCGGACGTGCTCATGCTTGGCGTGTACGATCCGCGCCCCTGCCCGAGTTGGCTATTTCCTTGGTTCATCGCATAGGCCCCTGCGCCAGTATCTGCACTCCTCATCTCCGGCTGCTGTTCGTTTCGGGGGACGTACTGGAATGGGGTTACTACCCCGCCGACACCGGTGCCGAGCCGCCCGCCCATTCCGTCATCGCCATTGTCGTCTTCAGGTAGGGAGATGCGAGGTGCGGTTGGCGCCACAACATGCGCAGGGTCAAAGTTGCCATCAAAGAGGTACTTTTCGCGGTTGCGGCGGTGTCTGCGAATGAGGAGGATAATTAGTAGGAGGAGGATTGCAAGCCCAACTACGCCTGATGAGAAAGAAGGTTAGAGGGACATAATGAAAAGGGGATGAAACGAACCTCCGACGACTCCACCGACGATCGCACCGACATTCGTAGATGAATTGTGTTGCGCCGCGGGATTTGTTATCACTGCGCCCGGAACGACCGAGGTAAACGTGACGACTGTGGTAATAAGTCGCCCGTCGGAGGTTAGACTGGCTCCCATTACTTATTAATGATAGAACAATTAAGAAGACGTCGGTGATACGTACACTGAAGTACTTGAGGTGAGGGAAGTTGATGGAGGTGCGATGGTTATGCTGCTCGGGAGAGGCTCCGAGGCCGTTGCAGAGGGGGTATTGGAGGTTTGAGGGGCCGCAGTGGCAGAATTGGAGGGACTGGGTGGTTGGCTGGCTGGAGATGATGACGGAGGATTGGAAGAGGAGCTTTCAGAGGGTGACGGCGACGGCGAAGGCGAAGAACTAGAGGAGCTAGAACTCGGAATTTGAGTGGGTGTAGCGCTGCTTGTAACAGAGGGAGCGGTACTGGACGGCGTCGTCACTGTGGAGATAATAATCAGGTCAGACGTCTCTGCAACGGTTGAAAGAGAAGGAAGGTCGAGGAGAGAAGACGACATCAAGAGAGGGGAGCACCTTCATGCGACAACGACTGCGGGGTGGAGACAACAGACTGAGACGAGCCTGAGCTCATTTGTCTGGAATGCGAGACAAGACGAGACAATCAATCGATGTCAGTTGTCAAGAGCAGGTGAGAAAGGACGTATTCGGGCGGGAAGAAACAAAGCCAGCTCGTGGCCAACTCGAGGCCACGCCACTATAATCTCCTTCTCGCGAAAAATAAACTATCGCCTCCGATCACTGCGGCGAGGCCTCGACTCGCCGATCGACAATGATAAAGGAGGAAAGGAGTACCTACCAGTGGGGATAGTAGCGGACATCGTTACTGGCAATTTGTAGCCTAGTCGCCCAGTGTCCAATTAGCGTAACCAGTTTCTCAATAGAGCCCTATCATGGAAGTCGTGGATCGATGAAAGGTGGCTGTGTCGATGTATGTAATCCCTCTTAGCATAGTGGCGCCACTTTGGTTTTTTCCGTCCCGCCAGTTAATCGCGACATTTATATCTCAGGAAAACCCATGATGTATAGCACAGCACGCCACGATATTTTACTTCTTTGATCGTCGTGACATTTCTTTCCTTGCTTGCGATCGGAAGTTTCGTGTTACGATGGCCACCGGTCCGGCCTGCGGCCTTCCCCGATTTGTCGCTTCCGGGGTCGTCTTGAGCATCTCGTGTTGGTCTTCTGTCCGTCCAACCATGCATCAGACGCAACTGCACCCGTCACTAATCAGAATCGTGATCACCGCTCAGTATTTAAGGCAAATCAATGTTACGATGGAAGTAGTGGCAAGTATGCATGACTCCCCAAATTGTGAATTCTGGGCTGAATGTGCTTCGATTTGCCATTTTACTGTAGTCGCCGCGTGGATACTTCGGTAGAAATGGTATGGTTGTAAGTGTGTCTGACACTGATCATCACGGCAGCATCCACGATCAACTTCAGTCCATTCTGAGTTGAGCTTCCACCACATCATAGCCTGACTTCTCCAATTTCATCTTACGGCACCTTCCTCTCGAGACTAGTATATCACCTGCTGGATCTCCGTCTTCAATTGAATAAAGTGGTATGCCAGAGTCTCAGGCCAGACCAGACCGTTCTTAGGATAAAGAAAAACAGTGACTAGCCGACATGGACTGTCCTGAAATGATGCAAACATATCAACCCTCCTCCGGTGTTTGATACCTCGCTGTCAAGAACGTATGGTGAGATGGCCGAGCGGTCTAAGGCGCCAGACTAAGGTTTCCATTCAGGCCCATCTGGTCTCTTCGGGGGCGGGAGTTCGAATCTCCCTCTCATCAATTGCAAGTTCGACGAGTTCCTTTGCTCTTCATTTTTGCTAATAAGACCACTTTCCTCGTGCCCTGGGATGTGCCAATACGAGACCAGTGCTTGTCCCGGAAGTCTTTCTTCTTACAACGATACACTCACGAAACCATTGGGTACCCCACAGGCCAAATCTCTTTCTGTGGATAAGAACAGAATATCCTCTGATAACTGCCACTCATTTGGTCATTTTCATTGCTATCGCTCTCGATAACTCACTATAGACT